ACGTTTTGTAAACTGCATCGCGAGATATTGAACAATCCTAGACGTTTAATGATAATAATAATGTATTGTTAGTAGTTCGGTAACAGGTTGTGGAAATTATGACTTCCGTAGTGAATCTGTATGTATATATTATTCATATAATCATGCACTTAACGGATCGAAGAATCTTCATAGAAGAAAAGATAAAGAATCTTTATTAAAGCCTCTTTTTAACATCCTATTACAGAAATATATAAAGATTCTAAAAATATGTTTGATATAATATTTTTAAGTAATTTTATATATATTCTGTCATTTTCGAAAATACGTTGAAATTCTAGGAAATTATATACGTTTTATTTACAATTCTAAACGTTAATTTTATTTGAACATTGACTCTTACTTTGCCTTTTGTTTATGTATTTATTTATCTAAAAATATAATTCGTCGATTATAATTACAGAACGGAATTGCATTCGAGTACTTGAAAGTACTCATACGATAAACTACTGCAACACTTTACGTCGAATCCAATCCTCGATGTAGGATGGACCTCAAAGAGTTGAGAAGAGATTGTTTCGCGGATGGACACGAGGATGATTTCACGGAACACACAAGAGAGAGACGACTTTCGCATACTCACAATTATACTTCAGGCGTGCGTAGGTGTGCGTCCAGGATCCTTAACTTTCAGTTTCTCGACGACCAAATTATCCGTTATGCTGCAGATACACGATAGTTCGCGCGATGCAGTGCGATGTACGGTGCGAAGCACTGTCGTGCGCAACAATGTCGATTCGAATGTCTCGCGCGTGTGAGTTGTTTTTCGCCGGATGAGTTCGCGTAGCCGGGTATGTATGTACTTTACCCACGAGCTTGCGTGTTGACGAGGAATCGGCTGCGCGTATGCCCGTTTGAACAACATGGTATTGTTGGCGAACATAACACAGAAGACAGCGACACGGGAGGGGCTCCGATTAAAAAACACAAAGAATGCCATGTACCGCTAGATCATTCCACTTATTAATATCGTATTAACTCATAGTTTGCGACGATCGCATATGTAATAACTTACCGTCGCGATTGTCATGTAATTAAAGTCTGTGACGAACAAGCCATTATTTTTATCAAATTGCAAAATTAAAACTCTGTTTTAACTAAGTAAAAAGAAGCGCCAATTGCGGCCAAACTATAGCTTAGGTAATAAAATATAATGATTCTCTATATATATAATTTATTTTAAATATACACTTTCTTTAAATATATGCGCATCGATTACTTTCGGACTTGCAACACAAAATGAATTGTTGCATATATCTGAAGAATATATATATATATTTATTTAAAATAAATTACATAGAATTCCAATATCTAAGTTTGATCGTAGTTGGAACTTCTTCTTTCTTAATTGATTTATTCATATAACGATTTTGTTTCTAACTTATATCATCTATTTTACTTATATTTGGAGATATATATATATTAATTTTTTAAATTAAGAATGTAATGTACTTATACATTATGTACCTATACATATTTTTTAAATATATTTTATACATATATAAGATTATTTATATATATAGAAAGATTAATTATATAAATGTATAAAATATAATTAAAAATATATCTAGCTTCTCAATTTAAGAAAATTAATATTTCTAAATGATTCATGAGTTTTGACTTTTTTTTTTCGAAAAGCGTTCTTTCCGTACTGGTGAAACAACGTTCTGGTCTCGATTCGAGTCCAGATGAATCACACACTGAAGCTAGAACGAAATCGAAGCGAAATTACGTTATCCGATCGTCAAGATCTCGCCGGAGATCGTAAAATAACGTGGTGAATTTAGCGTCGATATCGTGACGTCGCTTTCATTCACGAATCTGCTCTATTTATGCAATTCCCACATTATGCAACGAGCAAACTTGAATGAACGACTATTGTAGCTGCGATACGTATATCGATCGGGCGATTTGGCAGCCTAAAATCGAAGAAATTTATTCGACGGTCACGCAGATCAATTACGTAGATATGAACTATTGTAAATTTATTTAAATTCATTTAAATTTATTTTAAATATTTTGTAAATATATTATTTTTTGTGGTCTTAGATTGCACAGATTGTAAACATTTATTATAGATATTATAAAATATTTATTATGAATGTTGTAATAAATGCTATGAAAATACTTAACGAGACATTAAATCCAAGTAAAAAATACTTATTAGAAACAATAATAAGATTGAAAGACCGCTAATGTTAAACATAATAATTTTAAATTAAGAAGCGCCATAACGGTCAGAACGTTAAGATGTTGAACTATTGTAAATTCATTTAAATGAATTAATTTCAGAAATGATAATTGCGTGCCGATATGGTTGTCGGACTTTCAACGCAATCAAATCTGAAAATATTAATAATCCCCCCAAATTCCCCAACTTAAAAACTGTAATAAAATTTATTGCGAAAAATAATGCCTCGGCCGAGAGTCGAACCCGGATCTCTTGCATTCCGTGCGAGTTATTAGAAATATTTATTTATATTTATCATAAATATTGCATAAAATATTTAATCTATATTTTAATAATATTTCGAAAAAAGCTTTATATAAAATATGTATGAAATATCTATAACATTTCAAAAAATGAATATTAATAAATATTTATCATAAATACTCTGTGCTGTCTGGGTAGGATTTCGATATATGACATCGACAAATATGAACCCAGGTAAAACACGGAGTCATAATTAAGTCATAATAGTATCACAGGACGTCATCATGGTAAAGGGGACCAAGCTGAAAAATGTGCAAAAATGTGCAAGTAAATCCCAGCACTGGTTTAATTTGAACAATTTATGAAGCCGCCTCTTGCAATTATTTTATTCATATTTTTTTAAAGGTCGAGCATCACATACAACTCGTTGGAGGAAAATCTCGCCAATAGTTGGCGCTCGCAGACAATTATTTTCAAATCTGATAGACTGTTGACGCATAACCTACGTTGAGAAGTGGGTTTTAATCAATTATAATAATGGTAAGTATGTTATTCTCATTCTAATTAAGAGACCCCCTCGTTCTTTTAATACATATTATTTAATTCTTTTCAGTTACCTTTGACTTTGCTAAAAACAGCGCAAAATCACCCCATGGTAAGTCCTGGATTTGTGCATAATATCTCTTGAAGAAGAATGATTAAAGAGGCCTTGTATATTACTATATTAATAATCCAACTAAGTATTTTATTGCAGTTGGTGGAGCTGAAAAATGGGGAAACCTACAACGGTCATTTGGTCAGCTGCGATAACTGGATGAACATAAACCTCAGAGAGGTTATATGTACGTCAAGGGTAAGAATGTTATTGTATGCATGCTGATTTTAGGAAAGACTTCTTATTTGTTTAATTGAGCTTAAGTTTAAACGAATCTATGAAATAAACGAAACAAAATAATCTTGTCCGAATGAGTTTTAATCAATTCTTTTATAATAAAAACTAAAATCGAATAAAACTTACCGGTATATACTAGACATTTAGTTTTAAAGCATTTAGTATCAGTACCTAGTATATGTTAGTATTTGTATATATCTACTTTATTTTTCTAATTTTTTAATCAGAAATGTTTTTAATTTATAATCAATTAACTCTAGAGTTAAGCTATAAATATTCAACTCATTAGAATCTGACAATTGTATTAGGACGGTGACAAATTCTGGAGAATGCCTGAATGCTATATAAGAGGCAGCACGATAAAGTATCTGAGAATCCCAGATGAAGTAATAGACATGGTAAAAGAAGATATACAAATGAAATCGAGGGGACGCGGCGAAATGAAGGGTCGAGGCCAGAATCAAAGAGGACGTGGCGGTGGAAGAGGTAATAATCTTTCTTTATAAAATATTAACCCTCCATACACAAGACATATCTCTCTGAATGTACTTTTTTTGAACTGTCAATTATTGAGAATTTTTTTTTCCTCAATGAAAATGTTGATAATTTCTCCATAACTTGAAACATTTAAAATGAAGGGTTTTTGAAAACTAAGCTTCAAAGGAAGTAAATGAAATTGTTTTCATATTCTATAGAAGACAATTATCAACAATCTGGTGAAAATCTTTAAAGCAATTTATTCACCATTTGTTCAACATGCCTTATAGGTACCTTTGGCAGAGGAGGAAGAGGTCCAGCACCATTGGGTCGTGGGGGTAGTACACAAGTTGGAAATAAATCACAAAATAAACCAAGACCTAAATGAGACCAAATATTATTTTTATTTTACTTCAATTACATAATTCTACGCAAATACTTGAAAATATTAATTTTCTTTTGCGAAGATTCGTCACTATCCGATTCTTTGTTTCATATAATCTCTTGTATATGTAAACTTAATATCCTAATTTATATCAAACTACAAAGACGCATTGCTCGTGTGAATATTGTACTTAATTGTACATATCAGGAGACACGGTAAATGTCTCTGCGCTGACAAGCGCAGCGACACTACAGTGTTCCTTTGCGCGAGACCGCAAGTTACAATACATTTTACAATAACATAAACTGTAGTGAATATTTTCTTTATTAGCAATACGTTTAAAAATTATAGTTTTCCCATTTAATTTTTTGTCGCAAATTGCATTAATTGCAAAAAAAATCAATACTATTATAGTTTATTGTTGTAAAAATAAAGATGATCTATGAAAATTACAATTCTGTAGACTTCTGAACAATTAATTTTGTAAGTAATTATAATATAATACATTAATATTTGTATAAACGATGAAATCTATCTTGTTTTAATTTTAGTTAATCATGATGAAATTAAAATTAATGAATTTTTTTAGTTTCAATTGTTACCTTTATACTAATAGGAAAATTATCATCTACTGTAGGAAATAAATTTGTATTTATAAAAGGAAGTTTTTATTTTGGTCATTCATAGTCTTACAGGATTATGTAACGACTATATTCTGAAATATATCTACTATACATAACATCCTTACTTTCTAATAAATAAGACATGTAATGTACATCTTTACCAATAGTAGTTTATTGACCAAAGTATAGCGATGGTTATAGAGATTACGTCAACCGATCATACCTATTGTTCGATATCATTGAAAATAGCCGATAAACTTATATAAAACATGTTTTTTGCAGTGAATGCAATTACATTTTCTTTTGTATATTTGTAATTATTATTTGGTGCCCATCCTTATGTTATGAATACGTGGAATAAGAAGTTACTACAAGCAAAAAACTAATTATTTAAATGCAGTTCTAAATATTAATTAATATTTAATATTGTTTCATATCAACTAAACAAATGTCTTACTTACTTAAATTATGTGCCTTAAAAGATACTATGATGACTTAGTGCATTGTAATTCATCGTCCCTCAACTGTAAGTAAAAAAAAAAAAAAAAAAAAACGGATTAATATACTTTTTTAATATAAGACTTTTGGACAAAAATAATTAAATTTTTGATAAGTTAAACTTACTGTATGAAGCGAGGTCGATTTCGTCCGGTAATTCTGTAATATTTACGTCAAACCTTTCTTGAACATCATTCAATATCTTCGCGTCGCTTTCATCGCTTACTAATGTAATGGCAAGACCCTGCAAAATATTTTTAAATGAAAAAATCATATGCCTAATTAGTAAAAGCGATTATATTGCAAATATTTCAAAATAACTTTGCAATTCAAATTAATTGCCAATAAGTCAATGTTAAATACTTGGTTTTTGTTTTGATTTTATCAGCATAATATAATAGTGAATTCTATTACAGATTTTAAAATGTTGTAATTATACATATAAAATCATATTTAAACATTTGATGTGGAAAATTACTACGAAGTTGAATTCATCATAAACAGCCAGAATTTATTACCTTTGTACCAAAACGACCAGCACGCGCAACTCTATGCAAATATGTATCGGAGTCTTCTGGCATATCATAATTGAATACAATATTCACACGTTCTATATCCATTCCACGTCCAAACAGGTTTGTCGCCACCAAAATACGCTGAAAATATTACTCGTTTTAAATCATATCTTGCATATAATTTGATTCGATTTGAAGAACTTAGTGCACAGAGCCTACTTACTTTCTGAAAATCTTTGAACTGTTGATATCTGGATAACCGCTCCTCTTGCGTCATGCCCCGATGAATCCCAATCGCAGGGAAATTCTGTTCCGTTAAAAGTTGTGCTAAAGCCATACATCTTTGTACAGACTTCACAAATATGACAACCTATACAAAGCAATCATTAAAAGGTAAATAGTATTGATAATACAACTGGTATATCTGAAGAAGAAACATTTTTAATTTAATATCTTAAAATGTTAACTTGTTTAAACGTATAAATCACTCTTAAAAATAAATACTTGGAAGAATCTTCATCAGAATTGGTGAGTAGTGATAAAATAGTCATCATAGGAAATAAGAAAAAGTATTGCATCATATAAAGATTCTCCACAATAAGAAAAAAATGGATATCCACTGCAGATTGTCCTAGTTAGCAAACAAACCTGATTAAACTCAAGAACATCAAGTAGTTCAAACAACTTCTTGTTCTTCTCGTTCTCCTTCAATTTAACGTAATGTTGCTGGAGACCGTTCAAAGTGAGCTTCGCCTCGTCATCGACATAGACCTCCATGGGCTGCACAAAGAACGTTATTTCATAAAATATACAAATCCATAAAACAAATTATACAGTGCCTATGTATAATTCTCAGGCCGTAGGAATTTGCGGCTGTGTCTGCAGTCTCGATGTACTCGTTTTCGCTGTCTAAAAATCATGCGATTGGACGCACGATAAAGAGACATCTGTACAAAAATACAAGTAAAACAAACTAAAATAATATCCCTTGATACAACTACAGCGTTTGCAAAAATGAAAGTTTTTTAAAATACAGAATCTTTAAGCGACACAAAAAAGACAAAGCCAAACCATTCTTTTTTTTTTCTTGTAAATGTACTACCAAATATGTATCTTTTTCTTCCTTGGAAGAAACAGCATTAGGTTCGCTAAGTTACCGTATATATCCGTGTAAATATAGAAAGTCACGGCAAGAGACTCTCGCATTTCAGTTGCAGAGAATAAACGTAATCATCGATCGAGGTTAGTCATACAAATTACATACGGTCCGGCGACTTTCATCTCTGGATAGCGCCAACAACGAAAACTCAGCAGTTTGTCCCAACTGAACTTAAGAAGGCGCACTCATGACAGAACGTTCGGTCACATCCGCTGGCCACTCGATGCCAAAATCTCTTCTCCCAAATTTCTGGCACATTAAGATGCCCAGAATCGACTCTGGTTGGCATAGACGCTCAGCTTTTCACTTCCGGTATCCGCTAAGCCGCGACCCGATTTGCGTCACTCGTACGAAATAAAGAGCGCAATTTACAGATACACGAAGATTCGCGTGATTTAGCTTTCATGTGACTTTACGGCTTTTACAACATGAAATTGCTCGATTCATGCACGGCACTTGCATTCTTGTTGACTTCACTCGTACTACAAAACCACGATCGCAATCGAAATCTTTGCACCGAGACAAGAAAACTTTAATGTAAAGCTTTTAATTTGCGATTGGACGAACGCGAATACAATAGAGCTATGCTACGCTTTCATATTTCTTTTCCCTAACTAATCCTAATCATTCCCCTGAGTATCCTCTTGCATCTTCTTTCTTGTGCTCTTCTGTCTTCAGGTTGTCTTGAAGTCTTCTTAGCCCCCCACCCATAATTGCATACAGAGTCTAATTCTATTCTAATTCCTCCTGACGATTACCCATAAGAAATATTTCATATCCCTATCTGTTTTTCCCCCCTCGATATATTCCCTGAACGTATTGTTATCTTTATGTGTTGTCCCTTAAATGCGTAGCAACTAATTAAAGGACTTTACTATCGATTGGAACTCTAACTCGGATGTTTCAAACATCGTGTCGGTTGACTCGATTTTAGACAAATAGGTGTATGCTTCCCCTTCACATGTATATGCAGATGATGACACATCAGACACCGAGTTTAGACTTGGAATCAGAATCGGGAGGAGCAGCGAGATATTATGTTGGACATGAGTGTCGAGCATATGATTGTGCCGTTTATCGAAAGATATCGAACGAGATTCATTTTTTTCGAACTTGGTATTCATTTCTTCAAAGCGGCGTCTAAGCGCCTAACCCGCGGATGCGCCGACATTGATATTTATAGTGTGGCTTGAGCTTTGTCCTGGACATGAATATGCCAACGAGGCAGGAGCAATTGTAGATCGAAGTGAGGAGGAAGATTGTGTAATTACATCTTGCATGAATTTTTTGCAGACAGGACGTATCTCCTTGGACAGCGTGGCACTGAACATCATGACTTGTTTGCTGTGCGGTGTGCTTCTGAATATTTCCTGTACGTCCCGGCGCATATCTGTAACAATGTAGCATAAATTAATTATTTATTATTTAAAATGCGATGTTAAAAGTAAAATAAATTTTAAAGAATCGCTCAGTTACGTGGGTGATGGAAAAAATAGTCATCATAATAAATTAAGACTTTTTCACACATCATGTAGATTCTTTTTAATAAATTTTAAATAAATTACGTTAGTTGTTTATGACGCACCTAATAATTCAAGCATCTTGTCGCATTCGTCAAGAATGAAATGTTTCAGGTGTTTTAGATTCAATTTCTTATTCCGTACAAGAGCAAGAATACGACCAGGGGTGCCGACAACAATATGAGGACACACAGTCTTCAACATCTCTTCATCTTTCTGAATAGGTAAACCACCGAAGAATACGCCAACCTAACAAAAAGAATTTTATTAAAAATCAAAAGTATAAACCTTATAAGATTAGGAAGAGATAGATATATCAGAAATATTTATCTCAATCACGAAATTTCAGTTGTCCCTATCTATAATAAATTGGATTCATCATTGTGTATTCAAAAAATACAGATAAAATATAGACGGCTGTGAGACAATTCACCCCTTCCCTTGATATTTTTTAGTATAGAAAATTCAATATTCATTAGAAGATATAAATATATTATATTCAAATTCAGTGCTACGTTATATAAAAATTGTTTAACGTAAATGTAAAATATTTTATAATTTGTTCATGTGTGTAACAATATAAAACTTTTTAAAAAGACTCTTAAAAGTTGCACAATATTATCCTACTTATTTGTACATAATTTATACACAATCAAAATGGAACTTACTTTCACATGTGGCATGTATTTGCTGAACCTCTCATATTCTTTACTGATTTGAAAAGCCAATTCTCGAGTGTGACACATTACTAGGACATAGACTTGGTTCTCTGCTAATTCCAACTGCTGAAGAGTAGCTAATACAAATACAGCCGTTTTTCCCATACCCGATTTTGCTTGGCACAGTATATCCATGCCAAGAACTGCTTGAGGAATACATTCGTGTTGCACTGTAAACATTATTTATATATTGTTAATATAACATTAAAATATTGCGCAAAGTTAAAATAAAAAAATATATAGATACATCAGAAACGTCCGATTCGATCATGAAATTTCAGTTGTCCCTATCTAGCATTAACGAATCATATATTCATCATTATATAATATATAAAAATGAAGATAAAAATAAAATGGAGACTTATTATAATGAAACAATTGTTCACCTTCAGATGGATGTTCAAAACCACAGTCGACAATAGCACGAAGAATTTCTGGCTTCAAAAGGAAATCTCTAAATCCACTGCTGTGGATAGAGACATATGTACCCTTGACTTCCTTCTTTGATGGAACATCTCCGCTTCCATCGACTACCTGCTCAGTCTGTTCTTCGTCTTCATAATCCAAAAGATCATCGTTATCCGCCATTGTATCTTGATCACTTTGGTAGGTTTTCTGGAAAAATTAAAATTTGCAATAATGCAAATTATGGGAAATATTTCTATCATTAATTAGAAAATCAAATTTATTCAGATAAAAAGAAATTATGTTACGAATAAAATCCTTCCTTTAATTCTTTCAAATATATTTTCCATTATATATATCATAGCCTATTATTAAAATATGTAAGATATAATAATCAAGCAAAAAATCTATAAAGATATAACAAACTGTTCAGCCAATAACAAGTATATAAGAATATAAAAACCGCAATATGTTCATAAACGAATTTCAATTAAGTTGCCTAATTTCAATTTTAATTAAAACAAAATTATTCAACGAAACGAGTTTACTTGTTCAAGGATCACAACACGAAACCTGACTAAAAATTAGCGATAAAAATAAAAATTGATCAAATTAACATTACATCTCGAGACTATAGGACTCGTTTCTCATAAATAACGTGACAAGTAAACGTAAACGCGAGTATATTACCGGCGCAAAATACCGCTTCAAGATGAACGATTTTGCCGGAAAAACGTTCGCGTAATGGCCGCCGCCTCGGACAATGCCGCCGAAAATGGACCGGTCGCCCATGGATACCGCGTGGAATCGGGACAATTAAAGAATATCGGAGGTCACCGATGGGACGACGATTATCCGCGATATATTCGCAATTTATTGAGATAGAGCTTAGATTTATCTCCCGCCACGCACTGCTGAGATGAGAACACGCGCGTTTCAAGGATAATTTAGCACCGCGACGGTTATACTGGGATATAATTGCAACGAAAATACGGAATTCTGTCGACAAACGGATAAATGCGGTACATTATTTCGCGCGTTTCGCAAACGGATCGCTTTTTCATTGACGATAAGACTTCGGATTACGGTGGTGTGTTTTTTCTACTTACCGTGCGTGATCTCGTAAATACGAATTAAAACAGTGACAACGGTGGTAAACGACTCAACGAATGACGAAGCCTTGCGAAACGACGATCGACGCCACCGGCCACCGTCCACGAGATGTCGCGTAAGTACTTGCGTCTATTGGTGCGTTCGGGAAGACGCTAATAGCGCTATTTCTGTCATTCTATCTTCGTTGTTTATTATGGCTCCTGCACACTGGACGCGGAAACACTTGCCGCGCGGCAAAATGCGATGCGGTAACCAATGGCTGCGTTCAGCAGACTCAACAGTTTTGCAACCGTTTTATGATTGTCTGCTGAGATAGGACCATTCTTCTAGATCTAAAAGTATGAT